CCCAGCCAGCACGCTAACCGCTTCAACCATATTAATTATAAAATACAATTAAATGGAGGTTTGCATGGCTAAATGCCGTTTCTTGAAAGCATTATCATTAAGGATGGGAGCTTAAAACATTGATTTAGCTCGGAATTTTAATCTCTTTTCCTGGACTGGATATTTTAAGCGCTCAAAGGGCAGGAACRTCCACCTCCCTGATCTACCTTATCCGCACCTCTTCCCCTGCGCAGCCTCTCAGAGCACATGAAAACGCCCGTTGGCTCCGGCTGAGCCCCAGTGACCCCCTCTGCTCCGCATTCCRAACGGGCGATCAGGAGCCTGGGCTTTTCCCGGACAGTTAGCTCCCACTCCGGACACAGGGAAACCTTTCCAAGTTTCCTCCAGCACAGTTCAAAGGCAGGAAGCTGCTAAAAGCTCCGGACATTTTAGCAAGAGGAATGTGGGGAAATACCTTGTCTGAAGAGCTTGCGTCAAGGTGGATGCCCAGCGCAGTCATCTGACGTGGACCCTGTTGTGTCAAGTATTCCTGCTAGAGCGGAAAACACTCCTGTTTTGACGAGGAACTGGATCCCGGATCCCTCCTCGCTGAGAGGGCAGGAAGGAGTSCAATCCCTACTCACACCCCAGCCCTGGCCACGAATGCAGTGCAAAGAAAAGAAGCCRCCCTCACTGAAAAGCCCCGTTTAGACTCGCGCTAAGGTTTGAGCTCGGCCTGCGGATGCAGGGTCGCAGGGCACGGGCTGGGTGCAGCCGGGCGGCCGCGGCGGCGGCTCCGGGCGCTCGGAGCAACGCCGGGACAACGCCGCTGTGGAGGCGTGCGGAGGTGGGTACGGCAATTTTCACGGGCACAGATGTTTCATTTCCTCTTGGAAAGGGATATGAAATGACAGGGGAATATTTATATTAGAATATCTACATCAAAAAAAAAAAAAAAAAAAAGGCAGAGAGGCTTTTTAATTAAAACTAACTACCCAAGTAGTTAGTGCTTAATAACGGCTACTGCTGAGGGCTCCTAGGAAGCAGGGAAGCCGCAGAATCCGCCCGCAGCCTTGGGGCTGGCGGCTGCGCTGGGCACGGCTGTGCACGCCGGGCACGAATGCCGCCCGGGAGCGGCGCCTCGCCGCACTGCCCTGTCCACCCAGCCACGGCCGCCTGGGATGCTGCAAGCTGCTCCACGGGGCCAAACTGCGAGGCAGCTTGAACGGGGCTGCTGAATACATGCAAACCTCCGCAAGCAGTTTTTCCAGGGAAATGAATTAACTCGAGAACCTGGCACGTTTTGTTAACAGCCATCAATAATTAACAGTTGTTTCTTCTTCGTCATCCAAACTACCCCGATTGCACACTTTTTAGGAGAGACAGCCATGTGGGGCATTTCTGCAAGGGCCGGCTGCACAGGGCCGGGAAGGACGAGCGCGCTCCGGCCCCGCTGCGCTGCCGACACCGGCAGCGTCACCCCGAGCGGGGCCCAGCTGCACCGGAGAGGGGGTTTCCGAAGGGCCCCTCCGGCACGGGACACCCTGCGGATCCCCTGTGGCCCGAGGGCCGCATGGTGACCTGCGTGGGCAGCTCCTCGGCGGCGGCACCGCGGGGCACGGGCTCGCGTGGCCGTGCACCAACCGGGGTCTTTGCTTCGGCACAGTGCAGGAAATCCATCCTGGCGGCGGCCCGGGAGCCAACGGCGGGGCAGGTTTGCCGGAGCAGCTCCCGTCACCCGATACGGGAAAAAATCCAGCCAGGAGACGCACAACGGGTGTCGTTTTTCAGCCGGAGCTGATCACAAAACCGCACTCTTTAGCCCCATTTAGGGTTGTTTATGTGCAGGGTAACCTAACAGCAGCCTCTTAAATAATTGCAGCAATTATCTTAGCAGTAAAGGAGCCTTAGAAAGTTAAGCAAAAAAAAAAAAAGAAAAAGAAGTCATATTGCAAAGCACAGTGACTTCAGAAGAAACTTTTCTCTTATTCTCTCAATTGCTAAAAGAAAACCTGATGTTCTTCTTTTAAAATGTGTCTGCCTCTAGGTCGTTGGCACAGGTTTGCTGATGGGAGGGCCGGCAATCTATTTAATGACTGCATTGACGTCAATAGCATAACTGAAATACTTAGTAAGAAGCATGAGTCCAACTTTCGGGGGGGTGTGTTTGCCGGCGGGACGAACACGCGAAATGGAGTCGGGAGCGAACTGCTGGGCGGCGAGCAGCCCCTCGGGCGCTGCCGGCCCCTCTCTTGTGTCCCTGACTTGCGCAGCTCGCCGGGCCACGCGCTGGGCTACCCCGTGGTTGGGCAGCCTGCTTTTACTCGCCCGGGGCATTAAGATGACTGTTGATTTCTTCCACAGCTTTGCTAGTCTTGAATTACCTGTATTGCTATAGCACTGCTGCCTTCAAAAATAAAACCTGTGTTAATCTCCAATGCTTTATTGTCAAATTTCTAATTTCCCCGTGCACCATTGCTACTTTTTAGCGTTGCTTTGCTATTGGGTAGTCCGYAGGAGCAGGGCTCCACGTGCTCGTTAGAAGCCCAAAGGACCACRATCTGCTTGGCTTGGACAACCCACCTCCACGCTGAAAAGCCAGACCTTGCTCGCAGCAAAGGGCCCCGTGTCCAGCTCGAGCGCCTGTCCCGCAGGTGCCGCGGGAGGCGCCGGCCGCGGGCCGGGCCGCGCGGCTCCGCGCTGCCCTGCACGCAGCTTCCCGGCTCTCRGCAGCACGAGCTCCAGCGCTATCCAGTCTTTGTTGATGCTCCACGCAAGCGTGCCCGCACGGGCGTGCGCACCGCACACCCACATGAGAAGCGAAGGAGCACAAGGCTGGAGCTCGTGTCAAGGCACGTGAGGAGGGCAAACGTGCAGACGTGCAGGGGAGCGGGGCAATGCCGAGAGGACCTCGGGCAGCATTGAGAGCCGCGGGCAGGGAYCTGCCCGCCGGTGCCACCCGAGGCCTCGGGCCACGTTGGAGCTGCAGTAGCAGCGCCACGAGCTGCGAGACTGTGCTGCAATCAGGCTGCGCCCAAAGGAAGGGCCCCGGGGCGCCCGCTGCGCCGAGATGCTCCCGGAGACCTGGCGGCACCGCCTGCCTTCAGGTCGCCTCTCCCCCGTCCCGAAMGGACCCGCGGCAGCAAGGTCCACTTTTGTTAAAAGAAGCGGAATATCTGGGAAAGCAACGCGGCATTGGCCTGTGTGCCAGGGTACTCGTGCCCCAGGGGGCTCGTGCCCGCGGCGGCRGGCCCAGGCAGGCGGCCGGGCAGCCCATCGCGTCCCGGCGCTGCAGCCGCCCGGGGAGCTCCGAGCCCCAACGGTCCCCGCGGCCCTTCCCGGCACGACAGCGCAAGAGCTAGTCAGGGAGCTCGGCGCTCTCTGCTCCAGCTACCTATTCCCATATTGCGCGCTCTTAGGGAAGGCATACATGCAATTTTGTTTGTTCCTCTGATCTGCAGTTTTAACAAAATAACAGGAAAAATCTGCCAGATTTACTTAAGCTGATACCAAGGACAAAACACAGGATGTTCGATACATATTCCTCTTCCTTTTATGGCCTGGTCATAATGTTCAGAAACCTCTGAAACTTGCACTGACATCACTCTCRGCATCGACAGCGTTAGTCTCATGAGAAGCTCAAGCAGAATTTTTCACGGTTTCAGGAAAAAGAAAGCCAAAACTCGAATTCTCAGCCCTGGGCGCCGCTCTCCCGCTCAGCCGGGGCCTCGTGATGCAAGTCCTCGGCACCGCGAAAGGATTTGGCTCTTCTCACTCTGCAACAACTGACAAATCCTCTAATATTCTCCTCTGAGTAAACAGCTGGCATGTATTACTTCCACTGCAAACGCTGAATGTAATTTGTCTCCCTCCGGGGTAATTTTATTAATGTATGCTAGTTCGCTTTAAACCCGAGTTCTGTACTTTCCATAACAGGATATAAATCACTGCACTAATAACAAATCAAAGGAGACAGATACGAGGTGCTCACACTGATGTCAATTGATGCTGGTAAATCTCTGAATCAACGTGTGACACGGGAGCGCGAGAGGAAAACGCTGCTCCTGGCCGGCTACCCAATCTGCAGAATATAAACACATTGGGTTTCAAAACACATTCCTTTATCTAGAAGGATGTAAGGCAGCCTAGTCCCAATCAAAACATCACGGCTTCCTTCTCCAAAACCTGCAGGAAAAACATGCCGCGTCCTTCGAGGTGCGGGAGCCACTGGCACACAGCAGGACGTGCTCGCGGAGGGAAAGCTCTCCCGCCTTCCCCACTGCTCCCCTCGGAAGTCCACCTGGGGAAAGCAAGCTGCAAACACTGAAAAAGCCCCTAAAAATCCTGGTTCTTGCTGCATTTAAGTGGAAACTTCCTCAGAAAGCAAGGGGCCATCGTTGCCTCTGCAGCCCCATCCTACCTAGTGCCCAGCACCCGCGGACACGTGCCCGGCACGGCTCAGTGCAGAGCTGCACACTCGCTCTGCGCACATCGCAGGTAAGGCGATAACAGACCTTATTTCAGACCCACTAATCCATTCGAAACATGAAAACTCATGAAACGTTCAAGCGAAATGTTGGGACTTGTGTGTGGCCTCCCGCTCTGCCTGGCACCCGCAGCAGCGCTCGGCTCCCTCAGGGCTGCGGGGTCCCAGATCCTCCGCTCAAAGGGAAGCGGAATTCTCCCCTTCTCCCGTAGGAGCTTGGGAGAGCCAGAGAGGATGGGGTGTCCTGCGGCTCGCACAGATGCCGGGGGTCAGGAACGCTGCAGTTACAATTTCCGAGAGCCCCCGCAYGCCCCAGACGCAACGACGGTGCATGGGGCAGGCAGCAGCAGCGAGCGGGGCCGCCCTGGCACGCGACCGAGGTGGAGCTGTACGAGTGCCGCGGAGCGGCTGCTGAGGCTCCRGTGTGCGGCAGGGACGCAGCGAGGCGGCTGTGCCCGACACGGCCATGCCCGACACGGCCGCGAGCCCCACGCGCGGCACGGCCCGGCGCAGCGCGGCCGCCTCGCACACCTACCTTGCAGGCTCACTCGAGACACAGGCGGCTGGCTGGTGGCAGGAGATCGCCTGCGGGGACAGCAAGGGYGCTCTAAGTAGGTGCCATTTAGCGCAAACAGCCCTTTTCCTGCTCTCCGCAGCCTCAAAGCTTTAAGACGGTTTGGCAGTCAAGGGCCCTACACACTTTAAGATGGTTTGGCAGTCAGTGGCCCACAGCACTTTAACAGAAGGCCTCGCAGGTTACGTGTCCCCAGCTGCTGCAAAGGCGCACAGGGCCACAGCACYCACCCTCAGCGCCCTCGGCTGCAGGTGGCAGCAGGGCTGGAGCCGCCGAGCGCTGTCACAAGCCCGGGGAGCAGCTGGAGCAGCCCCAGCTTCGCCAGAGCCCTGGGGATGCCAGGAGCCCCAGCCTGCCTCGAGTCTGGCTAACAGGGCTCCCTGGCAGAAGGGCCTGGCTTTCCTCCAAATGGCCAAACATTTCCAGGTGAGATCTGCCAAATCAAACTGCTCAACTTTTTCACGTTGGACCACGATGTATTTTTTCAAACTCTCATTTCTTCTGGCTGTGGGGCAGCAGACGTGGGCCCCGGCACCCTGCAGCTGCTGCCTGCTCCACGTATCTGTCCCAGCGTGTCTGTGCGGAGCCTTGGAGAGCCCTGGAGGCCCAGGGGGACAGGCACCCCCGGCAGGGCCCTGGGCAGGTGCCACGGGCAGGGGGCCGCCCGCCGCCGCTRCAGGCGCCTCCTCGCCGCCCCGACCCGCTGCCAGTGGCACGTGTTCAACTCCATTAATCACGCTCGCTCCTTCTCCAGGCAGGAAACTGTCCTAAAATCCTCATGCAAGAGGCCAGAAAATCTCCGTTCTGGTTGTGCTTTTTTCCCTCCTGCGGTAAGAGTCAGATTTTCCAGCAGTTCCCGCGGGAGAGTGTCCTCCTCTGCTCTTTGGGAGAGGGGYGGCAGAGGAGGAACGTGGCGCGGGGGAGAAGCAGAGCTCCGATTCTCGTGATCCCCAGGGCTGAAGTTTAGGAAAAATTCCCCCTATCACGAGATGGACGATCCCAGCCCGGGTGGGCAGCAGCCGCGGGCAGGAGCGAGTGCATGCTGCCCTGGGCCGCGGCACATCCCATGGAGCGCTTCTCCTCTGTCCTTCGCACTTAGCCCTCGGYCAGCTGGGCAGGGTTCCAAAGGGAGCCTGTGTCACCCGGGTCACAGCCCGGCTGCCTCCCGGCCCCTCGAGCTGCTGCTCCGCTCCGGCTCTGGAAAGCAGAGTGCGGAGCAGGGAGGACAGCAGCGCCCGGGCTGCGGGCTGAGCGGCTGCTGTGCGGCCGCAGGATCCCACTGCATCCTTCCCTGCCGGCCCCACTCCGCTGCCTGCTCCCTGTGGGCATCTCCTCGTTGTCCGCGACTCTGTTTCTTTAAAACGGGAGTGGGAATGTAGGTCAGGCGCAGAGCTTAACCCAGCGCCAGTGACGTGCGCTCTGAAACCGCACGTCTGACGCCAGCCGGGGGAAGCCCAGGTGGCACAAAGGAAGGGATATTCTTTCTCCTGGCAAAACGAAAGGATATTCCTTCTCGTACAGACCTAATATTCCCAGCAGCGCAATCCGCTCCTCCTTCTCCTCGGACTCACTACATTTTCCAGCGCCTGGAGCCAGGCGCGATGACTGAGCGGGAGCAGCGGGGCTGGCCTGGCCGCCCGGGGGCGGCTCTGCCGGGCCGGGGAGCAGAGCCGGAGCCCACGGGAGCTGCCACACACGCACGGGGACACGGGGGGACACGGGGGGACACACGGGGACACACACGGGGACACACACGGGGACACACACGGGGACACGGGGGGCCCCGCGGCTCGCGCGCCCGCCCCGCCGCGGCGCTAGGGCGCCCCCTGGTGCTCCGCGACGGCGCCGCTCCCGTTCCCAGCCCCGCTCCCGTTCCCGGCTCCCGGCCCCGCTCCCGGCTCCACAAGGGAACGGTGCTCCCTGCCCATCCGCACAATGAACACAGGGAAAAGGGAACGGGTCGGGGGGGAAGGGGTGCTTACTTGTTCGCTGTCCCGTGCAAATTGGTGAGCAACGTGAAGTTATTCCTCACGCTCCGCAGGCTGGCCAGGACCTAGGGCAAACGGAGGGGAGATGGCGCAGACTGCAGCTGCGGCTCTCAAGGGCCTCTTCAAGTGAGGTGGCRGACGGCAAACTCACCTGTGCGAAAGGCGTGACGATCAGGTCATCCCCGTGCCTAGGGAGAAAGGAGAACCCTCGTCTGTGCCAYGCAGAGCATTCCAGGGACATGTGCGGCGTTTCCCGGCCGCGCTCCATGTCCGCGTGCCCGCCGTGCAGCCAGGCTTGGAGCCTGCACTAAGACCCTCTGCCGAGCCAGCAGCCTTCGGCTCGTGTCGTGCCAGGCCCTTGCAGGTGACATGGGGACATGGTGCTGGGCAAGGAGCTGCGTGCCCTCCCTTTCCTCCTCTTCCTCCTCTGCATGGRGACAGCTCCAACCCAAGCTCTGCGAGCGGCAGGCAAACACGCTCATCCCAAACAGAGCTTCCTCCGCCCTGGGGACAGGGGCTTTCTGGCAGCACAGTTCCCTGCACAGCCTCCCACCCCCGCAGAAAGCCTTAATCCATGGGCTGGTTCTCTGTCTAATGGGGCATGGATGCTAGTTCCTGATGGAAAGGTCTCCCGCTCCCAGCATCTGCTCGCAGCCCAGACACGTTCCCGGCTGGAGCAGCCGCTGGCACAGGTAACACCAGGCAGCAAAGGGCAGGAGAGCTGAGCTAAGGCAGCGCTCGCAGCGCGGTGGAGAACACGCGACCGCCTGGCTGAGGTCAGAGCTGGATTTCCTGGGTCTGTGCGTGTGTGTTGCAGCTCCAACGCTACTGCAATGGGGAGCCTGTCTGTCCTYTTCCATCGTGTAACCTCTGGGCAAATCACTCCGTCATCGGCTGGAGAGGCCGCATCTGGGGCTAGAGTGGAGACGCGGGCGCTGGGGCCATCGTCTTGGCCCAGGCATGAACGCTGCTGAGCCCCACATTTCATCAAAGTGGTCCCAGAGCCCACATTTAAATTAGCAAGTCAGGCAAATCCCAGCCTGGGAGCACCTGCTGCGCGCAGCCGGTCCCTGCTGAGCCCCGGGGCGCCCATTCCTGGCCCGGCCTCACAGCAGCTCCCGGAGCGCCGGACACAGCCAGGGGCGGCAGTGGGAACGCGGCTCCTGAGCCCCTCATCCATCCCGCTTCTCCAGCAGCCAGGACACAGGCGATTGCTGGAATGCACAATTCACATAAAACGCTGCATGTGYGTAACCTGGAGAGGCCCCTTGGTCTCCAGTGAGCTCAGCAAAAGCGAGCTTCTGTGCGGGTTTCTCCCTGCGCATCTTGTGCTACTCAGATTTCTAATTCACAGCGAAGCATCCATGGCTCCCCTAACAGTTCAGCTCTCCAGTGAGCCCATTTTTCCAGCCTAACAGTTGCTCTGAAACTTTAAGGTTACGTCTTTTAAAGCCAAGGGCTGCAAATCCAAGAGGGCCATTAAGCCTCATGCTCGGTGCTGCGCTGATCCTCAAGCGCCACCTGCCTCGGCTCCTCCCTCGGTTCTGCTGTTTTTAGAATATGAAATATTTAAATTTATTTATAGAACATTTAGAATATGGTGAGTTTAGAATATGGATTCGGAAACTCTTATTAGATGTTAAAGGGGCCTGTTCCCATGGAACATGGGCTCTGAATGCATACGGCCCTGAGCCTCTTCCCAGGGGATCGCGGGAAGCTCCCAGCGACGGCAACGGGAGCTGCACAGGCACTTACTGCTCGCTGGGCAGAGAGGAGTTCCTGGACATGGTCTTGGGCGACAGGTCGTAGTCGCTGTCGGAGCGGTAGAGGAAGGACTCGCGGCGCTGGCTGTGGCCGGGGAAGGTGGTGTGCAGCACGAGGCCCGACGAGGAGCCGGCCTGCGGGTCCAGCGGGCTGCGCCCCGGGGACGGGCCATTTTCCACATCGAAGCTGCGGAGGAAACAGAGGMTGAGTGACCGCGGGCTCCGGCGGGCTCYGGCGCCGGGAGCGACGGCCCTGGCCGCGCAGCAGCAGCGAGAGGAGGAGCGGGGAGCCCGGCYGGCCCTCYGGCCGCCCCKCTGCAGCAGTCCACCCGTGGTGGCTGCAGCCGCTCGGCCGCGGGGACGGGGACACCCCCGCGGCRCCTCGTCCCGCGCCATCTGCCCAGCGAGCTTCAAAGCGCTGCAAAGCGGAGGGTCGACTCCAGGCAGCCCCGGCCTCCACCGCCCGCTCCTCTCCAGGGCCTCCCTCGTGTTTCCTCGCTTGGCTGTTGCAGCCCAAGCCTGAGGTCACGGCGGCACCAGCGTTGCCACGGCAGGACCGTGGCCTCTCGCAGGCCCCTTAACCCTGAGGGCAGCGTTCGCCTCACGAGCAGTGATGGGATTTCGGAGCACGAGGGGCCCGAGGCCACGGCGGCTCCGCGTGCCTGTCCCCGTGCTGGGCACTGCAAACTTTGCTTCAGCAACTGTATATTTAACATAATATTTATATGTGTGTATGTGTTGCGGGGTGTTGCAGATAATGGTTTTGCTGCCTCCAGAAACTGCTCCCTGGGGTGCCGAGATGCAGGGCTGGCKCTCCTGCCAGCTGTGCTGCTCCTCATGTGCAGGGAAATGACGATAACCACTTTGCTCCTGCGCTCTTTGCTCCTACGTACGGGCCCTCGAGCATGGAAATCGCCTGAGAAGGGTGAGCACGAGCACCAGGGCAAAGACTTTTAGACCCCTAAGAAACCAAGCACGTTACAGCATCAGTATAGCAGAGGCATACATCACCCAGGGGCATTCCCACGCCTGCCACGCTTCCGTCAGCGTTTGCTTACCAGACTGCTTAAGCACACCTTGAAGCTCACAGTGGCTCTCTTTATATTAGTTTTGTTCTTTACTATCTATTCTTTCAGCAACGGTAGCAGGAGCACAATTTATTTCAGCCCACAGAACCRACAGAAGGAAATCAGCTCTATAACTATGGTACAAACAGCTGCCAGTGGGGAATTAATCCATACGCATCCAGCAAATGAGCTCCGATTCCCCCACACGTTTTAACATTAAACTTTTTAGTCTACAGACAACAAGAGCAAATTTTGCCATAGGCCAAACCTGCCCRCCTCCCCTTGCCTCTCCTTCCTCCACTGACCCTGCTCTTCCTCGCCCCCGTTTTTAACAATGAGAACCAATGTTCCCCGCCGGCACGGGCCTCCCAGAGCCGCTCCCACAGAAATCCCCAGGCCAGCGCAGGGATTTTCCATCCCTTCCCTCCCTCGCAGCAGTTTCCCAGCTGGAGGCGCAGGAAGGAGCCTCGGCTCTCTGGCCTCTGTGGCAGGAGTGGGACGCCCCGTCCTGGCCRAGCCCACGGAGCTCCCCGGGAAGCGGCTCTCCCCGCTCCGGCCGGGTTTGCGGGTGCTAGGATGAGCCGGAGACGTTGAGCTGCTTCCTGCAGTGCTGCGGGAAGGCGAATCCGCGTGACACAAGCGGCCAGGGCAGAAGCGCGCGGCGCTGGGGCTGTTATGCAAGGGCCATGTCGCGGTGCAGGGGACGGCAGGTGGCAGGCGTCAGCCGTGCGCGAGGCCGCTTCCCGGTTTTCCCAACGGATTGCTCCCGTGCAGTGCATGCAGCGCCCAGGCACTGYGGCTGCCAAGCGCCTGGCTCTGCTTCCAGCCCGGGGCTACAGGATGCCCAGCAGACGAGGCGAGCGCCTTCCTGCACCGTGACCCTGGGGACCTGGGGAGCACCAAGGAGCCTCTCGCAGTCCCTGACTCCTCTGCCTCCCCACGCTGCCCTAGCGGGATTATTGCAGCCATTAGGAATGAGAAAGCCGCTTCCTCCCCGCTGGGATGTGGCAGGGCCGCTGCTCGCCGCTCCTGCTCTGCTGCAGCCGCTGGCAGCCCAGCCTGCTGCTCTCACTAGCGGGTTTCTTACGAGGTGAGGACTGTGCTGAGACCGGCTCTGGCTGCAGCGCTTCCTGAGGCGGGACGGTGACGCAGGGCGAAGCACCCGCGCGGCCGCTGCCCGGCACCCGTGAGGAGGAGCCGGGTGCAGCTGGGGCCACCCCTGCCCCACTGGCCCAGGACTCGCAGTGTGGCCTGTCCCCGGCTGCAGAGCCCCTTCCTGAGCGTTAGCCCGCAAGGAGCCAGCATCAGGTACTTGTTTAAGTGCCCGGGAGAAGAAACCCTGGCTTCTCTGAAGCAGCTGTTGCTTCTCCRAACGCACATCCGTGGCTCTTTTATCACCTGCCCTTGCCCTTAATGCCATCACCCCTGGTGAACACAGGGTGCAGCGCAGCGGGCGGCTCCCCATCCTCACCACTGCCAGCGCAGGCAGCGATCCCGCTGCCCGAGGGACTTCCTTCTGCCTTTCAAGTTCTTCTCAACAGCGGAGGATGGAGCAGCTGCTCCTTCACCCCTGCTGCTAGGAGCTGCTTCCCTGTGAGGGTGCCCAGCCCTGGCCCAGGCTGCCCAGGGAGGCTGCGGAGGCTCCTGCTCTGCAGATCTGCCAACCCGCCTGGATGGGACCGSGTGTCCCGAGCTCTGGGTGTCCCTGCTGGAGCAGGGGCTGYGCTGGRKGATCCCTAGAGGTCTCTTCCAACCTCAGCGACTCTGTAAAAATCCCGGAGAAGCGGGAGGCCCTGCCTGCCGGGAGGCGCTTGCCCAACAGGTCCTCGCAGGCGGCCGCGTGGGCTCCAGCTCCGCCATCCCCCGGGACGCCAGCGCTAACGAGGGGAACTGCAGCCGCTAGTGTGTCCCTTGGGAGCGCCGCTGGCACGCGGGCTGGCACCAGGCACCGGCCACAGAGTAAGCGGCAGCAGCGCCCAGCAGTCACGGACAGCACGGATTGTTCCGTCCTCCTCAGCTTAACCGGAACGGCGAGGGAAGAAGGTGTCTGTGTCATCGGATTGCACATTTTCTGGGCTAACATCTTGAGCTGCTCTGAGCCCACCTACAGGTACTGAAACCAGGTCAAGCCGTGAACGTGGGGGATGCTACTGCACCAAGGACCGCGCCAGGCCATTTCATTTGGTCCATGAAGTCATTATTTGAGCGGGTTATTGGATTTATTTCCATAACTTGTATCCAAACAGGCACACTCCTCCCCTAGAGCATGTTCAGGCTTGCAACAGTCTCCTCCTTATTGCCAGGTTCTCTCCTTGCTGAAGCCCTGTCTCGAAGCCCAGYCCCTCCACAAAGCCCTCCAGGAAAGCGCCAAGCTCCTGAGCGCCCGTCAYCGGACACACGGCATCCAGGCATCTTCTTGCTGCATTGAAACAAATCTCTGGGGAAAGAATAACTTCTGTGATGCGAACACCGATAGCGCACCGCTGGCACCCAAAACAGCCTTTAATAACACTGCTGTTTGCTCTCAACCTGCAAAACTTCTCCAGAGCTGCTTCAGGGCTCACTTTCATCTTACCTGATTAGGGATCTCTCCGAAGCGCTATCTCACACTGGAAGCCATTTGATGGATTTCCTATTTTGGAGTCACTAACTCTAAATCATAAAGCCAAACTGTTCAAAAGAAATAAATATGTGGGAGCACAGAGCAGAACGCTTTGCAGCTTCAAACTGTGAATTTGTTAAAAGCAGCGATCAGTCACCAAGTTCAGCAGCAGCAAACAGTGCAGAAATACAGCCCTCCACACTCGGAGTTTAGGAAAAAAAATATTAGGAAAATATTGGCTACAATTGACCACAATTCAGTTATTCAGCAGGCAAAGTATTCAGKGTGAACAGGCAGGGATGTGCAGGCATGGCCCCAAATCATTACATCTGCTTGCGCCTTAAGACTCAAGGCATCATAATAAAAGCTTCACTAGCCGGACCTCGTCTGGGGCTTCCACCCAYGGAAGTCCCACCCATGGAAGGAGATGGCTTCTCTAGCAAATTCATAACAGAAAATGYGAATAAGGACAGCGGAGCTGCTTGCTGGCTGTCAGGATTGAAGAGATGTTAGTTGATTAACCAGAGCAATTTGCCACAGAAATCCCGCGTTAGCAATGCTCCTCTCTGGCCCCTTGCAGCAGCAGTTGCACGAGCATCTCAACAGCTATTTTGTAGTCGAGCCTCTCGCGAGCACAAAGCAGGCGCAATAACAGCTGGAGTGCAGGGAGCCGGCCTGGCTCCACGCAGGCTCCGCAAGAGCATGAAATTCTCGTGGCGGTCCAAGGAACAAGAATCACTCAGCACTAACAGGGTCTTTCTTTAAACCACTGATTAAATAGATACTCACAACATCAAGTACAACAGCCTTGACGGAGCCACCGCAACCTATTGCACAAATCCTCCTCCAGTGCCCAAGAGAGCTTTTCCTTTTCTTTTCTTTTGAGTTACAGAGGAAACAATGCTACCATGTAAAGGGTATTGAATCGCAGGGAAATGTGTGAGTGGTAAGTTCATGATGTAAAGAAGCAAAGCAGCTCTGCATTTGGGCTGCAAAGGYGGCTGTGCCCCGGCCAAGCGCGCGCACAGCACACATGTAGCATCGCATCCGTGCTCAGCTGCGCTCACCTGCTGGGCTTGCCCTGCTGGTGCTAAAACTGCCCTGGGGAACCAGCAGCAATTACGGAGTTTAAAGAAAATATTCTTTAAACCACATTTTATTACGGTGAAGCAAAGAGGGTCTGTTTGTTTTTCTAGACGCTGCTTCAAACAATTCACCATCTTTCCAGAAGAACAGCAAAACCCAGGCAGCCTTTTGCGATCGTGGTGACATGGGGCCCTTTGCTCGGCACCCCTCCGACCRGGCAGGACCGCCTCAGCTAGTGCTGGCTCCCGCGCTGGCAGGCGCCTCTCCGCGCTTCCGCACGCCTGCGCACAGCAGGGCCTTCGCTCCCGCTCTCCTCCTCAGCATCCCCCGCTGAAAGCACAGGGCAGCGGGCAGAGGCAGGCAGCACATGGAGAGCTTGATGGTCCCCCGGTCACCCCGGTCACCTCCGACTTGAGCAACTGATGACCTGAG